TTTGAAGTGTGAGTTATGGCTTGATCAGGTGATATTTCTGGGCCATACTGTTTCTAGAGAGGGAATATCAGTGGATCCTAGCAAAGTGAAGGCAATCCTTGATTGGCAAAGGCCGAAGACAGTAAAAGAGGTAAGAAGTTCTTAGGACTAGCAGGCTACTACCGCTGATTTATAGCAGGGTTTGCCGAATTGGCTAAGCCGTTGACAGCTCTTACCAAACAGAGAACTCCATTTATATGGTCAATTGCCTATGAAGAAAGTTTTCAAGAGTTGAAGAAAAGATTAACGACAGCTCCTGTTTTGGTGTTACCACGGGAGGGTGTGGATTATGATATTTATATAGATGCCTCATTGTAGGGACTTGGTGTTGTGTTGATGCAGTTAGGTAGGGTGATAGCCTATGCTTCTCGGCAATTGAAAGAGTATGAGACAAGATACCCTACGCATGATTTAGAGTTGGCAGCTGTGGTCTTTGCATTGAAGATTTGGAGGCATTACCTTTATGGTGCCAAGAGTAATATCTACACCGACCATAAGAGTTTGAAGTATTTCTTTATACAAAGGGAGCTGAATATGAGACAGAGAATATGGTTAGAGCTAGTTAAAGATTATAAGTGTGAGATTAAGTATCAGCTGGGAAAAGCTAATGTAGTAGCTGATGCATTGAGCAGGAAAGCTTATTTGTCTCGACTCACAAGGCAGAAAGAGTTAATAGAAGAATTGTGTAAATAACATATTGAGGTCATACCAGGAAGGATGAATGCAATGATGTTTTTATTTTTATTCATGGGTAACTAATTCTTTTGTGATTGAGGGTGATTTCAAAACCCTAGATATGTCTTGTGATTAATAAAATCTGCATCTTTTTATCTTTTGATCCCTCTTGATTATGTGATTTATTCTCTAAGAATAGGGTTTATATAGATTTTCTTAATTGTTTAAGTGCCCAATTAAATAGTTAGGGTTAATCTATTATTGCCAATTTAGGTTGTTTAGCATGGAATCGCTATATTAACCTAAATAACTAGTGGTAAAGTGTATGCTTTCATGCATTGGGGGGTAATCACTCAAGATAACTAAACCAACCATATGAGTTTAGCCTTGATTCAATAGGTCTCTCGCTTCTTAATGCTTTTATTACTTTGATTTTAGAGATCGTATCCTAGGTTATTTAATAAATAGGGAATTGGGTTACGACCCTGTCTAGCCCAACGACTCAGTAAGGAGAGATGGAACTTATCAATGTTTAGTATTTTCTAAGTTGATGTGATCAAGAGAGTAAAAAGTTAAAGAGTGCTTTTATTTTATGCAATTCATGTCTAGTGGTGGCGAATAAACCTTCAATCTTTTTTCTCTCATATGTTTCTCTTTCGTGGGTATTTGCTTGATTTAAGTTGTTGAATTTAGTTTCTTGGTTTTTGTTTCGATTTATTTTAATTCGTGACAAACCCTTGTTAGATGTAGATAATTAGTTAAGTTCACAAATCCTCTACGGGAAAGACCCTTACTTGCTCTTTGCTAGTACATGGCTTTGCATTAGAATTTAGTTAGGTAAAATTAGGTGTTGCATTTGCATGCATCAGACAACCCAATAGCTCACATCATAACCGCTTGTTAAGCAACAGATCGTAGTGCACCAGCTTGCGATGCATCAACTCATGATAAGAGAGTCACGGCACAACTTGTTAGGAAATGATCAAACATGGTAGCGGAAACAAAAACATTTACATGATAGATCGTTCCTTAGAACCAAGATCAAGATACAAATTTATAGTTTATATATATTAAATAAGAATCTGCATATTTTATTTTAGAGTTTAAGAAATCATATGCACGTTTGGAGGCTCCTCCAACTTGTCTTTGAGAGTATTTCGCTACCGACCCAAGTGTAGGATCGAACCGGTGTAGTCCACATGAAGATAACCTCAAGTAACTAAAGAGGGATATTCTAGATCCTCTTTGGCCTTTAAGAACCAAGAAGAAAAATCAAAGTAATTTGATTCAAGCAAAAATTGCAATCTAGCGTGGAGAGTGTTTCAAGGGGCTGGAGTGTTTTTCTTTTTTTCAATTAATGAATTCCAATATTTCACAAAGTGTGCACTTATATAGTGCACACTATACCTTATTCCATCATGGAATGGGCTTGAGCTCCAACCCAAACACCCATTGTATCCAAACATCCCCTTTAAGATATTTTAATTTTAATTTATCATTATCTCAAGTAAATTCAATTAATATATATATTAACATTTAACAATAATGATAATTAATTTAAATATATGTGAACACATATTTAAATGTAATTTCACTTATGTAATTTTAATATCAAATTAAATAAAGGCTACGACCTCAGCAAATTTTATTGTACTATGAAATTACCAAAATACCCTTTCACCTAAAAAGACGAAAACGCCCTTCTTCTAAGCTGGTTCTTAAATTATCTTCTATGTGTGTGACCCGTAGGCTCCTTATCATACCTGTAATGTGTAGTATCGCGATTAACACCAATTAATCGTCTCACTACACACAGACCAAGAATGGCCCCTAGCAAGGCATCATGGCCACCCGATAGATTTGGATTCAGCGAAGCAGCTACCTGTCAACGATATGGTTACCTTACAATCTGATCCTTTCATCATACGTTATCTCGACGAGACTGAGGCATAGAAATAGTGTCAACCTTCGGTTACTCTCGATATTGTGTATTCAGTTACTGGACTAATGACCTGTATTATAAATTGGATAGAGCAACAACTCAATCCCACTGTGGCCACAGTTTTAGTGTCATTGCCATTTACTGAATTGCGCCGTGAGATAACATCTCCCATACCCGAGAGTGATGAATCCTCTGTCTATCCACCATAGTCTTGGTACACTCCTTGATGCAGCCAATCACCACCGTATTGACAGCTCTGAATAGAACTGCGTTAGGCTAGTGTCAAACTACACCAATCGGTGCACAAGGCGCTTCAGTGATCTCAAGTCTAAGGATCACAAATGCACCACCATTCGTTAGAGGATTTGTTCCATAGACACTAGGGTTACCATCCATATGGAATCCTCTAGTGGGTCAGTCTAGTGAACTTGCCTACAGCAACACCCATGTATTGCACCAGGTTGTCACTAAACAACCTTGACAAGTGAGATCAGTCACTGCCTTTCAACAGGGTCGTTCAACACTATGATAGCCTTACTGTGTTATCTGTGCCCTTTACTTTAGAGTAATACTGGGGCTACGGACGTTTCTAGAATGGCCACCATATGTGCTCATAGGGTTCTACCATTCTAAGGACATATATCAATACATACAATGATGATTTATGCGATATAGTATAAAATGCCTTTTATTGATCAATGAACATTATTACAAAGAGTCAATTCTACAATAATTGATTGGCTCTAGGGCATCTACTCTAACACAACTAGTCGCGATGACAAGGTGATCTAAAGTTTTTGAAGCTCGAACTCGAACTCCAAAAATTGGGGGGTAATTTGTTGGAGAGTAAAGACGTGCAGAATAGGGTCCCAACACATGACATTCAAGAACGACTCTTGTCGTGACATGTGGACACCTTCTGGAAATGGGAACTTCATAAGGGAGGAAACAAGCCGCCTTATCTAGAGACATGTGCTCTCTTCGCATGAAGAAAGTTCACCAATAAGAATGCAAGTTGGCCTTTCTTTCCACGTGTTGGCCTGCACGATGATTACTTCAACCATGGATTTAGCAAGTGCAGCGCCACACACTCAAATAGCCTAAAGGGTACTTCACCCCAAAGATTGTCTCCAAAAAACTATAAATAGGGGGTTCCACTCGAAATAGGGTGAGGATATATAAAAAATTTCTTCTTCTTGTACTAAAAAAGCACAACAGCAACCTTCTGTCTAAGCAGACATCTCTTGTCAAAACATCAATAAAATAATAGTGGATGTAGGAATTGCTTATTGCATCTAAACCACTTTAAAAATCGCTCTTGCCATTTTCTTTATTTTCTGTAATACTTTGTATCTTGTTTTTACACAATATCACCTTCTGAACTCATTATTTTAGCATCATAACTACTTATTCACAGTCTTTCATAGATCCTCTATGCAGACTTTCTGAAGGCTTGCATATATCTCATTGGTACGAAAAATCGCATTAACACTTATATAAATTGGTTTGTTTGGGTTGCATTTTTTTTTTTATCAACTAGATAATTTTGGATTTATTAGAAAACCACCTCAAACTGAAAAACACCTGAACATGGATTTACATTTTTAACCTTCAAGATGTTAAGTGAACAATTTTTGAAATCATAAAGGTGGTTTGAATAGGAAAGATCGATACTTGACATAAGTTTGCAATTTTGAAAACCTTAAAGGTTGTTTGTGAAATTTGTCAAAACATTTCTCTTTAATGCATTTGCCTTTTGCAATGACCTTACTTTGGGAAAAACAACACACAAAAACACTCTTCATACATGGCTTTGAGATTCATATCCCCATTTTGTTCGTCTTCAATCTCTTAAAACCCATCTTCGAAAGTTAATGTTTTATTTTTGTTAGCTCACTTACACAGCCTCACATCTTCAAGCTTCAAAAATAAAGTTTTGTATTCTTTCAAAAAACCCCTTGAACGATCCTCACTTGCTAAATTCCTCGAAGAAAATTATCGATCAGGTAGCTTTACGCTGAATGAAGCATTGTACTTTTTTTATTACATAATTAATTCGAAACCGCTTTCTCCAATTTCATCATTCACTACTTTGTTTAGTGCACTAGCTAAGAAGAAGCATTATTATGAAGTGATTTCGCTATATAAGCTATTGAATTCAACTAGGTTGTCTCCAGATTTAATGTCTTTGAATATTTTGATCAATTGCTTGTGTAATATCAAAAGGGTTTTGGATAGTTTTGCAGTTTTTGGGGGGATTTTGAAGAAGGGTTTTAGCCCAAATGTCGTGTCTTTTAATAGTTTGATTAAAGGTCTGTGTGTTGAGAGAAAGATTATGGAATCAATGGAATTGTTTAGGCAAATGGTTGTTGTTGGTTGTAGGGCTGATGTGATCACTTGCAACACTTTGATTGGTGGATTGTGTAAAGCAGGGAAGATAAGTATTGCCATTAAGTTGCTTGAAGAGATGGTTAATGGGAATAAAGAATCCGGTGTTATTTGTAGGCCAGATGTTGTTGCTTATAGAACTATAATTGGTGGTCTTTGCAAGGCTGGATTGGTTGAGAAGGCTAGACAATTATTTTTGGAACATATGATTCAGATGGGTGTGGTTCCTGACATTTATACCTATAGCGTTTTAATGAACAGTTATTGCTTGGCCGATAGAATTGGTGATGCAAAGGAGTTGTTTGATTCTATAACTAAAGAGGGGTATAGACCTCATGTTGTTTGCTACAATACTTTAATCAATTGGAATTGCAAGAATAAAGAAGTCAATGAAGCTCTTAATCTTTATCAAGAGACGATTTCAGAACGAATTAGGCCTGATGTGATTACATATAACACCTTGTTAACTGGCTTTTTTCATATAGCTAAGGTGAAAGATGCCCGGAATTTAGTTAGTGAGATGCGACTTAACGATGCTTTTCCTGATTCTTGGACATATAGCATTTTCATTAATGGACTTTGCAAGAATGGATGTGTTTTGGAAACGGTGCAAATGTTTAATGCTCTAGTAAATAATAAGTTTGCAGCTAGCATTGAAGGTTTGAATTCCCTCATTGATGGATTATGTAAAACAGAGAGATTGGGAACTACTTGGGACCTATTTCGAAAATTTTCTCTTCATGGAAACCTGGTGCAAAATGTTGTAATATATAGCACTTTGATCAATGGACTGATTAAAAATGGACAACTAGAAATGGCAAATAAGTTGTTGTCATATGTGGAGGAAAAAGGTTGTGCTCCAAATGTAGTCACATTTAATACGCTTATGTTTGGTTTCCTCAAGAATAATAAGATATCAAAAGTTGTTGAACTCCTTCATAAGATGGTGGAGAGAAATGTGAAGCCGACTGAATGTACAATGTCCTTAGTCATGCAGTTACTAATGAAGGCCGAAAATTATCGTGAATGTTTGAACGAGCTTCCTCAATTTCCAGTCCAAAAGCGAAATTAAAGCTTACATGATAAAACTTTGGTGAGTATTAAACTTTTTTTCGGAGCAGAATCCTGCAAAAGTTCATCTAGCTGCCCAAATGCTCTATATTGGTTACGGTAAGTAGAAGGTTCAATAAACACTTTTATCTGTTCGAATTTGATAGGGATGGTGATGGGGATGACTGAGAATGATAGCGTTCCTGATCAGACATACGATGCGTGATCTGTCTCTGTTGTAAGTACATATATTGGAGGTGGCAACATTGCATGTTGCATTGGATTTGCACATGTAGTAGATCTTAAGAGTTTGAGGATTATTTTTGGTGTAAATTTCAGTAAGCAAAAGTTGTATATGAGGAATTGTGGAATGGTTCTTACTTCAACTACGACAATAATGGTAGCCACTCAAGTTCATCTATTCAAGCTAATAAGTTTACTGGACCACATGAAATAGATCTTAAGGGTTTGAGGATTATTTTTGGTGTAAATTTCAGTAAGCAAAAGTTGTATATGAGGAATTGTGGAATGGTTCTTACTTCAACTATGACAATAATGGTAGCCGCTCAAGTTCATCTATTCAAGCTAATCAGTTTACTGGACAATGGTATGTTGCAACTGATTAACTTCATTCATTGATATTCTCAATTATCCAAGCCTGATAAATCTTGATTTATTTATAGTGTTTCACATGTTTCTATTTCTCAATATATATTCTTTTTTAGTTCAAATCTAATAAGACTAGAACTTACCAAGTGTGTCTCTAATGTAGTTATGCACGAGCATGTGCTCTTTCAGCAATAGTTGATGAAGACAAAGCAAAAAGAGCATTAGAGAAGGTTTTTCACTATAAAATGTTAAAGAATATGGATGCACAATAGGACCTGTTGGAACAGTTGAAATGACAACATTACAATCAAGAAAAATATGGTCTGGTGTTACATATGCAGTTGGTATAACAAGTTTTAATGAAGATTTGGTCAATGTGGGATTTCAAATTGCCATTGAAATCTGTTTTCTGCTATACAGATGCTTTATGTTGGTGTGATAATTGAATTAAGGTCTTGAGTATTAAGTTGTAGCAATGTGTAATAATATATTCTTGTTTCAATAATTTTAGTGTATAATGACCCTCCATTTTTTTTTTTTTGTTTTTTACTGGTTTTAAATTTAAAAAAGAAAACGGTAAACTTAGTAATATCAGCTAGGGCAGCATGTTAAAACAGGGTAATTGAGAACTGTAATCTATCTTAATATGAGTTTATTTAGAATTTTGAAGTGCTTAGAAGATGTTCTGAGAAGTGGGTAGTCTACAACCAGACTTGGAATTGCTAGCACAGGGTTGGCTTATTATTGTGCATTATCTTCAGTTCTTCTATTGTGTTGCAATAAATATTTTGTCCTTCATGATTTTACAGGTTTCTATGGTATCAAGACTTAAAAAAGATAATGTTGTTGAGCTTGTTAGTTATTGCATTGATGGCCCTCTACATGTCCTTGTCATCAATTAAGCATGCAACAAAAATACATGTATAGGGTCAGTCAGTATTGGCTACATGTATAGGGTCAATCGTGACATCAAAACATTTTGCATCATTTTTGGTGCGTGAGATTTATCAGTAATTTTTTATTTTCTTCTTATTGATGGTTTGCCTTATAAATTTTATGTTTGTATGGTTGTGATGCCTATTTACGAGAATTCTTGTTAAAAAGTTGTATTTAATGGTGTTACTGGTATTGTAAACTTGGAAAACAAGGACGTAAATGAAAGTAGGAATCTTTTGAATCTTCTGAATATAAGATATTTTCCTTGTGTCATTTACCTGCATGTTTTCATTATTATCCACGTAGTGGCTCTTGTGTATTATATCAAAGGGATTTTGTCCACCAAAATGTTTAAAATAATTGGGATACCTCAAGCAATTTAATTGATGGGTTGAATGCATAGTGTTTTGCTTGCAATTAGAAAAAATCATTGTTTTAAAATGCAAATTGGACCGGCTGATTCGATCGGTTCGACCAGGAGCCGGCCTTGACTCCAACCGATTTGATTGGAAGCCAGCCTTGACTCTGGTCTGGGTTAATATAAAAATCGGAATTAACATAAAACCCGCTTTGGACCGGTAATGGATCGGTTGAACAGTACAAAACCGCTAGTCTAACCAACCTGGGGCTTAAAACGGTTCACTATTTTGGGGTTCATCTAATCCCCAAAAAATCCTATTCCTAATTGCTAATCCAGATTTGTAGCACCGTTTCATTCTCCATCTCATTTCAATACTAGTCGAGCCAGCAAGCCTTCTTTCATCTTCATCTCCAAAGACCAAATTGCAATCTTCCATTTTCATTTTCGGTATTTTTTTTTTTTTTTATCATTTCTGCAATTTTACTAGTACAATTCCCTTCTCCATTTCACTTAATTGAAATTGAATTCGCGGTAGGTTTTTTCCCCCCTTGATTTATGGGTTTTTAATAAAATAATAATAATTATAATTTTGGATCTGAATTGGATATAGAGATAGATCCATGTGGGTGAAATGGTAGCTTTAGATTAATAATTACGAAATTATTTATCTTGTTACCTGAATCTTTGGTTAAGCACATTGTTTTGATTCTTTATATATATATAGCAAGGCTCTTGACTTTGTTTTTACTTGCTGTGATTAATTTTTTTATGCTGAACTGATTTTATGTATCTGAATTATGCATTTATGCTCATAAGTGTATAGTTGGTCCATGAGCATGCATTCTGAAGTTTCTTTTCCTCATGTGTAATGTGAGCATGGTTTTTATGTGGTTCCAAACTTTCAATCAGGAGAAAGAACTATTTCACAAAGCTTTGAAGGTCTAAAATTCAAAAAGAATTGGAAACTGTACCAAGAAAAACACCTGCAACGAATGATTGTGTTATTAATTAATGATTTTGTTATTAATTATTATGTGACTACCTTTTTTAATTTAGTTATTTAATTTGTAATCAGATGAAAATAGTATGATATTGCGATTGTTATTGAAGGTGGTGTTGAATTTTTAAAAATTTTCAAGTTTATAATTTATGTTGTATTGTTGATGTCATCATGATGATGTCACCGATCGAACTGGTTGGATCGATTGACCTGGGACCCGGCCAACTAATCGAGTCTCCCCTCGGCTCAGGTTTTAAAATAGTGGAAAAAATACAAATTTAAACTTCACTAATAACATTATAAAAGTTGATTTTATTGTACGCAAGGTTCTGAAAATCGAATCGGGCCTTGACCCAATCAAGGGCCCGGTTCTCGGGTTGATTGGTCAGACCGGTCGGTCGGACTGATGACGTCAACAACTAAAATAGTTTCTAAAAATTGCAAACTAATCCATGATATTGTAATATTTTTAAAAACACCTCTAAAATTTAAATTAGTCCCTAAAATTTGAAGATATTGAAAAGTACCCCAAAAAATTATTATTTAGTCCCTAAAGTTTTGAATATTGAAAAACACCCTAGAAAATGACTAATAAATCCCTAAAGGTTTAAAATATAGCAGAAACCCACTTGGAACCTGAATCAGACCAGAGAGGTTGTCGGTTCCCGATCCAACCTGTTAGTCTGGTTCGGTTTTCAGAACACTGAATTTGTATAGGTATAATCAACAAGAAGATTATTTAGTGAACTACTGTGCACACTTGAAACCTTAGTTTGGAAAATTATGTCTTCTTATTTTTTTTCTTTCCTGAAGCACCTACAAATACTCCCGGTCTTAATATTTGATTTTGGATTACAGATACGCCATGACAGAACAAACTGGAGATAGTTTGTTGGTGGAAGAGCAAATTATTGTGAAGAAGGTTTTGAAAAGCAAGCTTCAAGGAGCTAGAAAGTGGGATAAGTAGTTAGGCAGCAACTAGAGGGATAAACTGGTCATTTTAAAGGTTTCAAATTTGAGTAAACAAAATTTTCCCACCTAAATAATGGCCTAATGACAGTTTCCCACCCACAGACTTCTATAATACCACTTTACTACCTAAAGATTATATTCTGTTGATAATTTCCGCTAAATATAGTAATAATCATTGTGAAGATGAAAATACCCCCACCAAAGATTAACCCCCAATCGTCGACCACTACAACACGCCTCAGCCAAATTTCGGCACCAAAAATCGACCCCATCACCACTATTCAACTCACTAGAATCCTAATAAGAGCTTGAAAATACATGTTTTGTTAGTGATTCAATTGGATTATTTGTGGGAAAATGTGTTTAAATTGTGAAATTTGAGTTCATTACTTCATAAATACCTTTTATGAGATCACGGGTGTATTTTGAGTATTTTCATGTTATGAATGATATATGAATGAAGAAGGATGATATCGATGGAATTTTTGACGAGTAGGAACAAATGGTGCAAGAATCGGAGTTGAAACGAGAAAGGTGTGATGCGTTGAAAATGGGACTTGAAACTTGGAAATTCTTCAAGATGAGCATGCTTCAATGTTTTGATCTTAACTTGAGATGTAGAAATCATAATTGGATGATTCTTGTGGCGTTGGAATTCAGAGGGCTATAAATTTCATGTTGATGACTTTCCCAAATTCTAAAGATATCATACTCGTGGAACAGAAAGAACTATCACCGTAACGGCCGTTTCTATCGCTGTAGCAATGGAGTGCGGGCTTAGATGGGCTATTTTAAATCCTAGTCCGAATTTGACTTATTTGAGGCATTCAATTCTTTCCTGATTAGCCTCCAAACCCTAGCACTATAAATAAGGGTTTTCAATTTGTTTTTAGGGAGATTAGAAGAGAGAAAAGAGTAGCCACTCTTTGGAGATCAGAATTTTGAGAGTTTTGGTTCACAAATTAGAGAAGTTTTTCTATTTTTCTTTCTTGTTCTCATGTTTGTTAATACAATGGTTGTTTTTATTACTGAAAGTATGAACTAAATTTATTGTCTAGGGCTACGATGTAGCCCAATTTAATGAATATGTATTGAATTAATTTTTTGTTAATTTTTATTAAGTTTTGTTCTAAGTTTTATTATTGCACTTAATGCTTTCAATTCTTGAGGGCCCGAGAGTTGAATGATTTTATGGGTTAGGTTGAGATCGAGAAATGAAACCTAATTAGTCCAAGGTAACAAAACCATAGATTGAGCAAACGCTAGAGATAGGTTACCCCGATCTTTGAGGCTCTGGTAAATTCCATAAAACTTAATGATCTCTCAGCTTCTAAATCCACTTTAGAGA